GCCCTCCATGGCGGAGAAGAACCTTGAACTGACATCTTCCCAGTCCCACACTAACCACTATGTTAGCTCTTATTTTTCTGTTTCCTTTGTGTGGGGGGGGGGGATTTCCCCCCCCCAGTGTCTATAACCTTCAACTTCAGAAAGCAATCTTATTTCAGTTTAATTTCACTGCCCTGTAGGGAGAGAATACCTCCAGGCAATGAAATCGAGGATGTTAGAAGGTGGCAAGAGTCAGAGGAATCAAACTAAAGCATATCCGTTATCACACAGAAGCTAACAGCTTTTCTGACAGCTCATGACAGGATAGTGCCCTGGCCTACAGAAGCCTGCAGTGCTTCTCTAATCAGAAAGCAACACTAAATGCAGGAAAAATTTTAAAAAAACCTTTCTGCTTTTTAAGTTATTAACATGGAGAAAGCAACCGGCCGATGCCTACAGAGCATTGCAACTACCAAGTGTAGCAGAGAGGAGACAGCAAAAATTAGAATCCTTGCTATTCGGTGCCCATTTGAGAACCATGGCAGCTGATCTCTGCTAATATGACAAGCAAAAAACAAACAAAGCCTGCATGTCTACGGAGCACAGTTAATAACCCTGCTGTGAGACACTATAAATCAGTGACTAGATTTAGTTAAAAGTTTAATTCCAAAAACAGCTTCCTACCCCTTAGGTAACGCACCTAGAAAGCGGTTGATGTGCTATCAGTCTGAACACCAATAGTTATTCAACAGTAGGGGGTAAGTACTTGACATTTCACCTTACCACTTTGCTACACTGTTGATATGAATAGTTATTGCAACATAACTTTTGTATCTAGTGCTTGGTTCTTGAACTTTGACACAAAGGGAATTACACAAAGCACCTCTTACGGCCTCCTGCCATTTACTGTACTTCAGGATAGGAAGACTTTTATAAATAAGCACATGCATGCTTTTTGCCATATTCTCCCATCAAAAGCTCAAAAGAAATCAAGGAGCAGAAGAACAGTAGGTTTTTATACCGTGCTTTTCTCTACCTAAATGAGTCTCAAAGCAGCTTACAATTGCCTTCCCCTTCTCTCTCTCTCCAACAGGCACCTTGTGAGGGAGGTGAGGCTGAGAGAGTTCTGAGGGAACTGTGACTGGCCCAAGGTCACCCAGCAGGCTTCATGTGGAGGAGTGCAGAATCAAACCCAGTTCCCCAGATTAGAGTTCGCCACTCTTAATCACTACACCATGCTGGCTCTCTGGCACTGAAAACACGCTCTGTTGAGCCTCAAGGTGAAGAGCTGGCAGCAAATTCGGTTTTGAAAAGGGATGGACACAAACCTAAAAATCCCTGAACCGAACTGAGCAAAAAATGCCTGAACTGAACCAGGCAATTTGGATCACACTTTGTCCCGACCACAACAAGCAGTAGGAAATGAAACAGACAGGTTAAATGGCTTGCAGCCATTTCAGTGATGTTTTGCTCTCCCCCCCCCCCAATCCAAGTGGGGGAAAGTGAAACAGACGGGTTAAGAATAAGAGATTGGATTTATACCCCGCCTTTCACGGAGTCTCAGAGTGGTTTACAAATTCCTTTCCCTTCCCCTCCTCACAGCAGACACCCTGTAAGGTAGGTGAGGCTGAGAGAGCTTTTTCAAGAACTGCCCTTTCAAGGACAGCTCATCAGAATTATGGCTTGCCCAAGGTCATCCAGCAGCTGCAAGTGGAGGAGAGGGGAATCAAACCTGTTTCTCCCAGATTAGAGTCCACACACTTAACCACTACACCAAACTGGCTTACAGTCATTTCAGCAGAACTGCAGGGCAGGTGTGCCCTTCCGCTGTTAAGCTGAAATAGCTTCCAGACATTTCAGTGCTTCATTTCGCTCCCTCCACTTCCAAGTGAAACGGACTGCTGAAACTGCTTGCAGCCATTCCGAACCAGTCAAAAGTGCTGAACCAGGGAAAAGTCCAGTAAATGTTCGGAGAGGGCACCTTCCCCAAACGTTGACTCAGGGGCTACAAATGAGGCCATGTTTGTGTCAAATTTTGACTCATGAACTGTTTCGTGCCCATCCCTGGTTTTGAATACATGTGTGTTGTCCAGATTATGTGCACTTCACTTCAGTGAGCTAAAATTCCAAGGTTAGTTCTTACAACTAATTAACAGTTCAGGCAAGCAAGCCAGAGTATGCAATGTAAAAGCTATTCACTGTAAACGACACACTGTTGATCATAATTCACCAGAGAGAGTGAACAATGGTCCCTAATTGGGGTTCATGATCCATCATTTACAAATCTAGATGCTACAGTTTTGTGGTATGCTAAGTTCCAATACTCCTGGGTGTCATGCAATAATGCAGTGTAACAAACAATCCCCCTAAAAGCTCTTCAGTGCTACTTGATTTAACAGCGAGTGCCCATAATCGTGTTATCTACTTTTAAGCCTGTGATATATCAGAAACATTTGGATTTTGCTCAACAATTGAGGAAGCAACCCCTGCAAAGAGTGAGAGCTCAAACTGACTGCTCGGTGATGCTGTTCTCAAGCTTCCTTGGCTACAAGGAGTCGTTCAGCTGTTCTTTAAGATCCAGGCCACAAAACGTATAAGTGCGCACACACCTTTCCAATCAGGAGCTGCCAGAATGCCCTGCTGCCACTGAAATGCCATTCTGCTACCATAATTATCTACTGCCACTTCAATAATATTATCAGTAAACTGTCAGCCCTATCCAAGTTGCAAGCTGAAGTGATAACACTTCAAGACTCCATCCCTGAAGTGAGAAATATCTACACTTGCATACAACATTGGCACCAAGGACTATGTGCAGTCGATCAGCCTTACAACTATACTTCTACAAGCAAGAAACAGCCAATAAAAAATAAGTACCTGCATAGCAGGTTAATAATGACCCAAGGTGTAGTGACTTTTCTCTCCAAGTCCACAGCTCCTTTTAAAAAAAAGATATTTCTGAACCATACACATTTGGAATGAAGAACAGAACTAAGGAACTCGTCTATCTGGACTACCAAATGGATGCAATAAAACTAAGTACTCTGGAATTTTGTAAAACGAGCCTTTTATATTTGAGCTGGTAAGTACAGCCACTCATTAAAAGTTATCCCAAGAGATAACAAACAAAATTTACATGAAGCACTCAGAAGTCAAATGACATTATTAGACATCTGATCCAGGCAAACTGAAGGAGGATACATTTTACTGGGCCAGACCCTTACAAGGGTACAAAGTTTCTTGGTTGCACAGAACTCTTGAAGCAGAAATCCAAACATCTGCTACCTAGACTATCATACCATGTGCAATAAATCATGTCTCTCTCCGATGCCAACATAGCAACCTCTGTCAAAATTTGTAGTTCACATTAATGAGGTGATTTTTAAAACGAATCCTTAGTGGTAAAATCAATCTAATTAAGTTCATAAATTTTGATCAATCAGCTTTTATTTTTTTCAAGACATCTTAGGCTAAGACTTTTGACATCATACCTATAATACCTATAATGGAACTCGTGACTTACTCCAGGTGCTCAGAATTATGGAGAGCATCCTGATTGACAGATGACCTCTCCCATCAATGAGGATATTCGCCTTCTCCCAAAGAGAAGACTATGGTCACAAAGCATTTCAGCAATGCAGCAGTCCACACAGCCATGGCAATTAACCTCCTGTGCATCAAAACCAAAGTGCTTCCGGCAGATGCCCCAAAGCACAGGCAATATACTCAGCATGCAAGAGCAAGACACTCAGAACTAATTCTTCTACAGGAATTTACTTAGGCAAGTCACGGAACTTAAAGCCATCATTGCTCAAACACAGGCAGAAATATCTGTACAGAGTGTTCCCAACGCAGGAAGCACTCAAGTCCGCCTCTCAAAGAATTCTGTCCAATTAATACGTGGTCTTATGACCATCCATTAAGTACATTAGTAAACCAAATGTTACAACACCTCTCTGTTCCATTTTATCCTCACAATCGTACAACATCCTATGTCAAAGTGGGGATCTGAACTCGGGTCTCCAAGATCCTAGGTTGACACTCTAACAACTACACAACACCATCTTCAGCTTACAAAACAGCACACTTAAGTTCAATGTAACATGTCTATCCATAAGGTAGATATATGAAAGCTTAGGAAAGTACTGAGGGGGAACATCCCAAGGTCTTGCTGCATTCAACCCACAACTGCAGATAAAAACATGCCTGGTCTCAGGGCACTAAAAATTCTCTATGCGTTTTATGATGGCTGTGTTTCCAAACATGCATTTTAGCACTTCCAGAAAAGATTCCTTACTGCAGGCGTGTCAAGCATGTGGCCCACGGGCCAGACACGGCCCACCCAGGGCTTTACTCCAGCCTGTGGCTCCCCCCCCCCCATCCCCAACCTTTTGAGCTGCCCCTTAGTGCAGGAAGCAGAGGGCAGGGCTGCTTCCCAGTTCCCAGCCAAGTGGATTGGGTAGAGCTGTTTATTCCCTTAAGTCTGCTGTGTAAAGAGGAGGGAGCTTGGTCATTAACACTGCTGTACTTGGGGTAGTTTTCTTTTGTATTGATTGCACTGGAGGCACTAAAGCTCCCATATTTGCCAACTCAAGGTTGAGAAATGCCAGGAGATTTGGGCAGAGGGGCCTAGGGATGGCACAATTCGGGGAGGGGGTAGGACATCAGCAAGGTCTAACTCCATGCACCCCATCCTCCAATATTTGCCAACTCTGGGGTGGGAAATACCAGGACATTTCAGGTGCGGAGCCTGGGGATGGCACAATTATGGAAGGGGTGGGACATCAGCGAGATCTAACTCCGTGCACCCCACCCTCCAAAGCAGCCATTTTCTCCAGGGGAGCTGAACTCTGTCATCTGGAGGTCAGTTGTAATTCCAGGAGATCCCCAGGCCCCACCTGGAGGTTGTCAACCCCATTTACAGCTCAGCCCAACAAAGCTCGATTTGTGTCAGATCCAGCTCTCGTAACCAATGAGTTCGACACCCCTGCCTCACTGTATTATAACTAGCTCATACTTACGTATCCCAGCAACGACAGAGAAGGCATGCTCCCATCTCACGCAGAAGATGAGATTGTAGAAGTTGAAAGCCATCAGAGAAAAACATAAGATGACACTGATCCATTCTTGCAACCTTTTCCCTGTTCAACAAAAAAGAGGGGAAATTCCATTTACTGAAATTGTAATAACAACCAAATCAGTGAAACATTTTTCCAGCTCAGTTTGAAATAATAAGCCAAGAGTAAGAGTTCAGCAGATAAATGTGTCTTCCCTATAGACCCGAGCAACAGGATAAAAGCTATTGGCAGGAATGACACAACAGAAATTTTC